TGGTCCTCAATAGCTGTAGACGAGACAGCTCCAGTGGAATGACTGAACTGAGTTTGCAAACTCTACCCAAAAATCTTTTACCCAGTGATATTGAAATCTCATTACATGCATGCACCTGAATAAACTGGCTGTTTCTCAGCTTGTTGCTTCTGTTATCACTAAAGACTGTACCAGAGACTTTGAACCAAGTGCATGGACAGTATGATCTGCAATTACACTTTCCTCCTAAGAAGCACAGGGAAAAATAGAAGGGAGAAATCTGTGCTAGCAGCTAGAAGAAAAAGCTTTTTGCTGAGCTTGCAAGCTCTGCTCATGCCTGGAAGCTCCAGCGCCTGCAAATTTCAGTTGTCCTGAGACTGTACCAAGGCAAAACCTATTATTTTTCAGCTTAACTGAGGGCTGTAAAGTTGTATTATTTTTCTGCTGAGTCTCTACTGCGTGGCTGCTTCTATCATACTAAAAATTAATGCTATTTGAATTTGACCATGCACGCTGCCTCTAATTCTAATTCTAATGTGATATTTGCAATTTATACTCTGAGATACTTGTGGGTCTACCACAGGGATGTTTATGCTCCCCTTCTTTAAAGATCCAAAGGAGAAGTGGATACGGCTTTTCTCCATCCATGTATGTCCATTGCCAAGGAAGTGTCAACTGCACCACATGTGCAGAGTTCCCAAAAGAGACCCAGCCGCGTGCTGCTAAGACTAAAGCTCCACTACAGACCTGCTATTCTGGCAATTATGCTTCTAACTGAAGGCACATTTAATGATGGGTTTCATAGCCTTAACATTGACGCTGTGGAAGATATCCATAAACTTATCTGGTGTACTGGTCTCCTCCCATTTGTCCCAGAGGAGCAGGCAATGACACAAGAAGGGAGGAGGTTCTATTGAGGTACAAAAATCTTGTAAATAAAACCCTGATTCACCTCAACAAATGACTAATCTCTCTTTCCTCTGAGGAAGTTGCTGTGCTGAATACCAGTGAGGATTTTGGCGCTACAAGTCACTTGCTTTTCTTAGCCGTGTTTCACAGGTCTGTCAGAGATGGACTCCCCCAGGAGTTTGTAGATATCAGACCAGCATCTCTTCCCATGAGCTCTTGGGAAGTACCATTTTCTGAGGAGAACTCAGCTGGTGTTCTAACTGAAATCCTTGCATCTTGTGCCCATAACACGTGGTCAGAGTCTGTCATCACAGCTGTGCAAGTCTTCAGGATGTCATGGTAAAATCCTGGCATCAACAGTCTTTGGAACTGGAACCGCTTGAGCCCATCCAAAGTCCATTCCCCAACAAAAACCATGCACAGGCATCATTAGATAGCTTTCTCCCTTCATGGTGAAGGGAGAAAGCCTCTTAATTACAATATTCACACCATAGAAATGGTTGAGTACTAATCTCTAGCATCAGTGGTCCTTAAGGAAGAGTTTTTCAAGTGTCTTTAGGGCCAAGGGCATCTGTGATTCAAAAGTTCTTAAATAACTCAGTGTCATCTGGTCACCAACACAGAGTACAGCTCTACTGCCCATAAATGTCAGGACTCTCCGGCTAATTTATAGTGTGTCCATGCACCTCTTGGGAACCCATGTGTGAAGGTGAGAAGAGATTTTTTTCTTGGGAATCTTCAATAGAAAATCAAAATGATCATTTTGGAAATTGATGTACTGATATGCCTAGACTATATTGACCAACTCTATTTTCCAGGCAAGATATTCCAAGCTATGGCCAAAATCTGCTCAGAGTCTCTTTTAGTATTTTGCCAAGTGTCAAAAAACTGAGTGCAAAGCTGAACACAAAATACCCTTTGTGTTACTTTTGGGAGCATCTGAAAAGCTGACTGCTGTTGAATGTTAAGGAACAGCAGCTAAGCCTCACATTTATTTCTAATTTTTGAGCTCAGCATTCCCAGTATAACGCATTTCTATTCCTTGGTTGTGACCACTCCTCTGCTGGGAGGGCAAGATGGAATTGTGTCCCATAGTGTTCCTGCAGCTCCTTCCTTCAAGCCTCACATAGCCAATATGTTGCACAAATTGAATGGCAACAAGACACATACTGATTCATGGAATTAGGAAGTCATTAACTAGGTTTTGGGATCTGTGGAGGTGAACATAGGAGAGAAATATACGAGTAAAGTGATTTGGAAATATGACTATGGTGCTAGTCAGGTTGGACAAGGGTACCAGACCAGGGTATGTGAGGTTTGAATTTGTGAGTACTATATAAAGGTTGATAAATGACTGAAAGATGTAAAAGTTGTTATCATATCTGCACTACTTTGCAGCTGGGGACTACCAAGATTTATGAAAGCTGCTCAGTGCAGTCAGAAGAGCTCAGCTGGTTTGCTGGAAAGTTTTATGATGATATCACCATCTATTTATTTCTCACAGGAACCTAAGTATGAAGCACAGCTGGAAGCCCTACCAGAAACATGCTCTCCTAACACTTTCATCGGTGTCTTCACATGAGCTAGATTCTGTCCCTCTCCTCCACCCTCAATTTCCCTTTTTTTTTTCATAACGCACCTGCGCATAGTCTCGATAAAATAGGACAGATTACCATCCTTCACATGCCAGCTACAGCATCCTCTTCTGCTGTAGGCAGTCTTGGCATATTCAGGGTGGTCGGTGCACAAGAATATAAGATATTTCCCACTTGCACTGGATGACAACATGGATATTTCTCTGCCTGGAGCATGACAGTATTGAGTTCTTCTTGTTGAAATTGTGCTCATGATAAATGTATATATACCCCAATATTTATTACTGCTGCAAATAAGAAGGGTTTGGGGGCAGTCTGGTGGAATTAGGTCAAAGTACTTCAACATGGATAAAGTGGGAATTAGTGGAAAGCACAAATGATCCACAGATGAACCCCACCTGGGAGAGCTTCTGCAACACACCACTCAGGGCACGAGGGTGATAAATCCTCCGTGCTCACTGCAGGGTAGTGTGAGTCACACGGTGTCACAGGTGGTTTCCCAGCACTCCCTTATTGGAAAGGTAAAGAACCAGTGCTCAGGGCCAGCAAGGGAAGGACAGCTGGATCCCTGTCTCAAAACAGCAGCGACCTGTTCATATCTGGAAGAAAAATGCCAGCCTGCATCCATGCATGCTCACCTCCTTAGATCTGTGGCAGGGTGGAAAGTGTATGTGTGTGTGTATATATATATATATATACATATATATATACACATATATATATATTGCCAGCTCAGGGTTAACAAAATTCTAGCTGAATTTAGGATGAAGCTGAATGGCATGTTGTTATTCATGCACATGGTGACTTTATTTCTCTTAGCATTTCTTCTGGTCAAATTAGCTGTTATGGGGCATTACTGAAGCACAGTAGTCACTGCAAGGAAAACTGAAGGCTTTGCTTAGGGAAGGAATTAGTTCATGGTTTTAGTGGCTGGAACACCATGATATATAGTGTTGTTCTGAGGCCACCTTCAGTGTGGCATTTTTTATGGGCTGGTGATACCTTCAGAGCAAGAGAAGAATGACACAGTTTATCTGTATCATTCTTACATATATTACAGTGAGCCTTTTCGCAGCTAAAAATAAAATTTCAATTAATGTAATTAATATTGCCCCTTAGAAGCAGACATTAAGCATATTATTGCAGCTGAAAGAAGGAAGACAGTTTCCAGAGCTTCTCCTGGGAAATATCATCATGACCCCATCTTTGGATTAATCTCCCCTCCAATGGCTGGATTGTTCATCTTCTTGCCTTGGACTATTCAGCACAAATTTCGTTTTCTCCCTGCATAAATCCTGCCATGCAGCCAGTGCTTGGCTATACCATCTAGGCTCTCAGCTCAGCTAGGCTATCAGCCTATGCTGAATTAAGCTGGCTGGATAAATTCATTTTTGCTAGCCCAGCAGATGGCAGTTCCTACCATGCCACAGATAAGTGAAACCCTGCAGTGGTGGCCCGAGTGTGGGAGAGCCTGGCAATCATCCATGCTGACCTCAAAAGCAACTTTGAAGATGTGTGTCTTGCTCTCTACGACCGAAACAGCATATGCTCAAAACGGTGTTGATTAGCGGTGTGTGACATGGTTAAGGTGACCTTAGTGGTGACAAGGTTGGTGTCAAGGCAAGTGATGAGAGATGTGATGGCAAGAGCTGGGTTGTTGTACTCCTGTCTCTTAGCTCCTGCAAGTCATATGGCTTCGTGGTTAAAGCACTTGCAGCTCTTTGGTTGCTCTATAAATTCTGGTTTTATGAAGACAGGCACTGAGTTAGCAGATGTTTTATAGCAGCTGGTACAAGAAGCTCGAATTGAGGAACTATCGATGTCACTGTAATGCTAATAGCAACACTAGCACTTGGCATTTAGCAGTTTTACACTTTCTACCCCAGTAATGATTTCTGCAGAGACAGCTTGCTGGTGTAACTGAGTGCCTGTCCAGGGGACATCTCATATAACTCCATAATTAAAAAAAAAAAAAAAAAAGAAGAGAAAGGATAAAATCAGGTTCTAGCCATCACCATTCTTTCTGTGCAACTGCTTAATGAAGGTTGTACATTGAACTGCTGTTAATTCAGTTAACTAAAATGTGGGGCAGCTGGAGTAGAGCAGACAAACCCATGGGCAGTTACCTGTGCCCTTTGGCCGGAAAGGAGGGACGAAATAGGAGAGAGGATTAAACTGAGTCAGCTGGCCATAAAACCCTGTCTTTGCACGTCCCACATGTGAGCAGGACTTTCTAATGCTGCACCAGACTGAAGAAGGCTTTTGCAACACCAGCAAAGACTCTCTTCTTGCTGCTTTGATGGCCAATGGTGGTTTATTCCTTGATGGTTCCCATTAAAGCAGATGCTTGGAGGCCTCATCAGCCAGTGTGGGAGATGTGGGGAAACCTGAGGGGTTCATGTGTTTCCTTTTCATCTCTCACTTCTAAATGATATTTCTGATTAAGCTGGTAGGTACCAACAATAAAAAACAAAGCAGTGGCTATTACAGGAATAATCACTGGTTTATTAAAATGAAAAGACAAAAATGGCATCATATTTTGAAATCTGATCATAAGTTAAGAGCCCAAACTGTAATCAGTGCTTTTAACAAAACAGAGATCCACCAGATACAAAAGAGAGAGCAAGATCGGATCTTGTAAGGCCTCATAGAAGTAAATGCAATTTGAGAGGCTCCAGCCTAGGCACCGAGGGAGGTAGAAGGGCAATGGGAAAGACCTGGAGAAGACATGAGAGTGAAGACAGAGTTTGGTGAGGGAAAGACTGGCAGAAACTGTAAATCAAACGAAAAGATTGTGATAGGCTGCAAGGCCAAAAAGGGCTCTAAGGCTGGTGGAGGAAGCACAAAAATTAGGAATCCAGATCCCTGAATCCTGCCTTGCCTTTTTGCTCTGATGAAATATTGTCTCATTGTTGGTATGATGCCTCCCCCATACAAAGTGAGCCCTTTTTCCAGCATCAGTGGATTTTCTTTAAGTACAGGTGAATCCCATTTTTGGAACGAAGGATGATATGAGGTATCTTGCAGGGAAGGTTGGAGGTGTCAGGGGAGAGTTCGAAGCGCAGCAGGGTCAGTGCAAGAGCCACCTTCATCTCATTCATGGCAAACTGCTGTCCGATGCAGTTCCTGGGAGGAGAGAGACATTTGGGAGATGCAGGAAACCAACCAAAGCCAAACAGCATGCGTCAACCAAAGCCTTGACAAAAGGCCCCAACAATCCTACAGCTCAGCCTCTCCCAGTCCACGGGAAAGATATTACTTATGCTTTTGGTCAATTGTGATTGCTAAGGATAGTTATCAAGTGAGCTGACGAGGTAGAGTTCTGGGGTAGGTATTATGGTGGTATCTCAAGGAGATGGCGAGCCATGGTGGCTAAAACCACTCTGTCTTCTACACCAGCACATCAGGGCCCAAAGTTTGCTTTCTGCTGGATCTCTGCATGCTTCCCCAATGGAAATTAAAAGAGCAGCACATGCTCTATCAGACTAAATAGTTTTCAGAGAATACCCCCTTCCTATCCCCATAACTCTTTCGGAATTCAATGTATTTTACCTTAATCCAGCTGCAAAAGGCAAAAAGGCATGGGAATGTCTGCCAGACACATTCTCAGGAGAAAACCGCAAAGGATCAAACACCTGGAAGTGAAGTATGCACAGGAAGAAACAGCAATTATTTAAGGAGAAAAGGATCCGACTGGTATCTGCAGAAGGTCTGGATCCCACCCCATAATTTCTGAGCATTCTATTGGAAAGAGGGGAGAATCTGCAAGGCTGTAAATCGAAGCTGGACAAACACAGACAAGCAAATATTTATTTTGTGATAAGTGGAATGAACCATGGTAACAGCCAACCTGGGGAACATGACCAGCTCTTCATCAATTGAAGTATTTTAAGTTGAGAGCAGAGATTCTTTTAAAAATTGCTGAATAGAGAGCTAGAAAAGCTACAAGCTTGCACTTGGAAGGGCTATCTAGATAAATCTAACAGTCCTTTCTTTAAAGCGACCAAGATAGATTTGAGGGAAGGCTGGCACAGTCTGAACATACTTTTCAACAAATCTCAAAGACTAAAACAAGGCAATCATTCGTGAGAATGCATAAAATTAATGGGAGATGTGATTCCTGTGGGCAAAGATGCTGAGCACCAAGAAGGCTCTGCTATCCTAGTAACGTATGCCAAAGACATTTTAGAGGACACTGTATAAAGCACAAAAAAAATATCAGAAGGGTGGAAGAAAACTTACCGAAGGATCTTTCCATATGCTGGGATTTCTGTGAATAAGATAAATGCTTATTGCAACAGTAGCACCTATAAAGGAACCAAATGAGAAAAGAGCTCAGTGACAAAGATAAAGCGAGATTCTGCATCCTGCTTACACAAAAGTATAAATTGCCATAGTCTCGAACCACTCAAAGCCTATGAGAATTTTGTCACAGACTTCAAAGGAGTATTTCATCCAACAGATTTTCAATCTGCTTAGCTGTTGGAATCTGTAGGCAGCCAGAAGGTGCAAATAAGCAAGGCACCCGCATCGCAGGTGCATCATCGCCCCCAACAAAGTTGCCTGCTTTTATGATTCTTAAAAAAAAAAAAAAAAAAAAAGGCAAACCCTAGTACAGGCTAATCCTCACTCTGCAAGTCCAGGCAGGACCATTTGCTGGCAACCATTCACCTACAGCTTTGCCAGACTTGATGAGCAGCTGCCTCTTTCTTGGTCAGGATGACAAGGGCCTTTGGACAAAGGTACAGCTGGTGGCAGGAAAGCTGTAACAGAGATGCCACATCACATCTCCGTAGTAAGAACATGCCTGTTGTCTCAGAGGACAAGTTATCACTGAGACATAAAGAGAAACTGGGATTTGCAGACCTTCTGGTAAGGAGCGTCCGTCGTGGAAGGTGACGGGCTTGCTGAGCTGCCGGGCTACGCCGGGCACCGGTGGGTACAGGCGAAGGCTCTCCTTGATGCACATGGTGGTGTAAGTCATCTTCCCCAGGTCCTCCCTGAAGGCAGAGGCAGGAAGTGAGTCTCCTTCCCGCTGTGGGTGCACGGCTTGCACCCATGGACACGTTGGACTTGTGACCATGCAGGTCTTTGCCAACCACCTTGCAGTATGTGGTTAGTACGGAGGGGCCAACAGCATTCATTCCATGGGGTGCTGCACACGAGGGTTCCCAGGGCACCTCTGAACAACGTTGAGAAAACTCACCACCGAAGTGTATCCCGGTCTCCCAGAATCCCCTGGATCTCCTCCCTGCACCGCGTCTGGTGCTCCGGGTGTGACGCCAAGCAGTAAAAGAGCCAGGAGATCCCGCTGGCTGTGGTGTCGTGACCCTCAAACATGAACGTGTCCACCTCGGCACGGAGGTCCTCATCGGAGAGACCAGATCCATTCTCGTCCTAAAGACCCAGAGATTTCCATGGGCTTGGGTTAATCCAAGAGGGAACGTTATATTCTTTCAGCTATTGCAAAGCAGAGTAAGGATGCCCTTGGGATACGTACAAACCAACCCAAATCTCTGCTTAGACTAGCTCAGGACCCCTTGTCCTTTGCTTTTAAACTCCTTTGTCAGCCTTTCTCCTTCATATTTAAACTGACGAGACTCTCAAATTCCTGTCCTTGTTACTCAACAGACACTATCAACATTTCAGAGACATGGAGAGGAAAATTGGGCCTTCTTGTCTCCTTCTCAGCTGACTAGGACAGGAGACCTTGTTTTAGACTGACTGTATCTATTTTAATGGCCCTTGTAGTTCCTAAGGGCTATGGTGGTTTGTGTTAGACCCTGTAAAACTCTCTTTCTTGCCCTCTCTTTGCTGTGCTGGACTGTACAGCCTCTCCCCACCACTCACTTTAGCACAGAGCAGAATGTCCAGGAAGTCCAAATGTCTTTTCTTCTGGATCTTTTCAAATTCCTGCTCATCCTTAAGAGACTCCTTTCGCTCTTTGATCACCTTATCTGAGTAAGAAAGAGTGAAAGGTTCAGCAGCAGCTGGAGATGCTGAGCCCACCTCCAAGGCATAGCTCACCCAAGGGTGTAGGGAATGGTGTAATCTCCATTTAGATACAGTTCCTCACATCTGACGCTTGTTTTTCCGTACCCCATGAAGTCTTGCATTTTCAATAGCATGGCAAGAAATCATGTGCACAGTGCCACCAGCTGCAATAGGCAATCCTGTTTGGTCATCTTCGTCTCGGCCTACCACAGATTCCTTAGCCTATTTTACCCACACAACCTGCATTTAAATCAAGCATAGCATGGGAAAGAAACCACTCCTTCCTTTGGTGTTGTCTCTAGCACTGGATGCCTCCATCTCACCACTCACTGGTGTTTTAGGAGAAGCATTCCCAAAGGGAATTGTACTCCATTAATCCCATTTATCCCAAGAGTTATTAGACCCCTGCAAAGCTTCATGTCCAACACGAATCATTGCTGGATGTTGGTTCTGTAAGCCTCTATCAACACTAGAAGGTAAACAACGGTTTTGAGCCTCAATATAAGGACTTGGAGTCCCCTGAGCCTGCTACGCACATACTGTATTTACTGGTACTGTGTCCGAGCAGCCCAGGTCACACAGACTATCCCGGAGATGCTGGTTCCTCCCAGATGCTGCCATCCAGCAAGCTGTGCTGCAAGTGTGCCAGCACTGGCAGGAGGGTGCAGAAGCCCAGTGAATAATTCTGTTGTGGACAACAGGATCCACCAGCCCTGAACCAGCAAACAAATGTGCCCTTTGGGCAACATAGTGCCAGATCTGCTGGGCCAGAGCTGTTACCCGACTCAGCACACTGAGGCTCTGCACAGAGACTCCAGATCCTTGTTCTGAGGCCCCTGGGCAGTCTGGCAAGGCGGTAAATAAATAAACTGCCCCTGGTTGCCATTCAGGATCTCATGAGGTTTCGATACTTCTCAGGTCTGGATGGGGTGTCTTTAGGATGGAGGCTGGAGCAGTGTCGGATGAGACAGATGCAGTGCTTGGACCATGCTTGTTCTTTGGAAGGCTCTGATTGCCTCTATTTGCCCTGCAGGAAAGCTTTGATTTGAAAAGATAAAGAGAAGGGAATACCTGTGTGCTGGTGTGCGAGCTTGCAGGCCTTCCTGAACCAGTAACCATGGGGGCTGAGCCAGTAAATGATGTCGTTGTGGTAGGGGAAGATGCTGAGTCTCTGGTGCACCAGGTAGCACAGTCTGTACACGGCCTGGATGTAGCTGTTTTGCCTGCAAAATGGGGGAATGGGATTTATTCTGCTGCTTGTAGTGGGATGTACAATGAGTTTCCATGTTCTCAACCCCCTCGAGCCCCAGCTCCCCAGGGTCCATGAAAAGTGACTAACACAGCTCCCCAGGGTCCTCCAGAGAACTTCCCATTGGAAAAGCTGCTAAGAACCAGATAATTAATAAAGCCCATTAATATGGGATATGGAAGAAGCACTTCTCCCTGCCAGGAACAGGGGACTTCTGTACTCCCTTGCCACTGAACTGTCCTGCTATTATGAGCTGGAGAATCCTTTAAATGAAAATGAGATTTTCATGACAAGCAGCTTGCACAGGGACCTCACGAGCAGCAAACCTTTGGCCAGGGCTGGAGCTGCCACCACTGACCTGTTGGTCTGGCAGTTGCTGTGGCAGCTGAAGGCACATTTCATGATGCTATCGAGAGTCATCAAGCTGACGTGCTCAAAGAGCTCCACAGGTTTCCCGTCTGTGATCATCTGTTCCCACTTATCCTAGTGCACGGAAGAGACAGAGGTGAGAAGGTAAAAAACTGTTTTGCAAAATCTGTCCTTATTCTCCAGTTAAACAAGTGCTCAGATAGTGCTATGTCCCAGGAAAATGGAAAAGAAATCTATCTGGAAAACTCTCTTGAAATCCTAGAGAGGGGAAGCCAGAACCCAGTCTGAGCCTCCAACTTGCTTGGGATCAGTCACTTTGATGACAAGTCACAATGCAGCTGGGTATAAACAGCCTATTCTCAGCTAATCACCAAGGCTTGTGAGCTGCCTTTCACCAGGGAGTGAATGTGTCCTGTTCCCTGTGGATGGAGCACCCAGGTAATGACACAAGTGAAGCATTTCTGCTACATGAGACTTGGTTGCTGGGGAGGTCTGGGGTCTACGTGCAGCTTGCTGGGGTCAGGGTCCATGCCCGACCTCCTGCATGGCCCGGGTGGTCTGCTCAGGACCTGCTCTCATTTACCTGCAAGATCTTGATGATAGTCAGGGGCCAAGAGTGCAGTGTTTTATACCACCTTGGTCTTGGGCACTCTTGGATACTGGCTAGACCTTCATCAAACCTGCTTTTTATGGATCTGTCTCTGAAGTACATAAGACTTTGGTGCATAAGATGTAAACTTCTGTTTAAGACTTCTTCTACATCCTACTGTCTCTCCTCCAAGGTATTTCCCCAGCATGTAACAGAGAGCTTTTGCTCAGCTCTTCCCATGGAGGATCCCTAGAGAAACTATTGAGGGGAAAAAGGTAACTCTGATCCTCTGTCCCTGAGGGATTGTGAGAAACTAGTGGATTCAAAAGCTGAGAAAGAGTAAAACTAAAAACCAGCTCAGCTGCACCTGAGCTCACACAGCACAGATCCAGGCTGGAAAGCAGGGTCTATATGTCCAGATTTGTGTCTTTGGCATATATAAAGATTGCCACCTGGTGGCATGTGCTACACAGGAGGCACTTTTGTGTTGTCTGCAAGCAACTCTAAATTGCCAGGTGATACCAAGCATTGCACAAGTTTTCTGGGCTCCCTAGCAAGCCCCAACCTGGTCTGCTCTCATCTGGGCTGGCGAGGGCAGAGAGCTGGGAGCTGCCAGGGCTCGATGGAGCACATTGCTGAGCCTGGAACACAGTTATTGGAGACAAACTGGGGACAACATCACAGGAATTTGGAATTTTAAAACAATTTGGGGTGGAAATACAACTTAGTCCCCCCTTATTATTGCTGTCTATCCTGGGTTTGAGCCCAAGATGCATCCTGCTTGCACCCAGGCCTCTGCTGGTGCAGATCTGGGTGTGCTCAAGGCCCTGTGCTCCAGACTTTGTAGTTGCAGGGCTTTCTATGGCACTCAGCATCACCAGATAACCAGCAGTGCAGTTTCACTGTGTATCTGGCAAGACAGGGACTGCAATCCAGGCCTAGGTACACTGACATTAAATAGTATCTTCTAATCATAGGTCACAGAGTAGCTATGCTCTAACCTTTATTTTCTAGGATTTATGATAAGTTTTTAATTTCTTTGGGTTTTCATTTATAATAAATGCCTTCTATGAAGCTGCAGTTGGGACTGGGATTACACGCAGCTTGGAGATGATACTAATATTAATCCTGAAATTTTAGAAAAGCAGCCCAAAGCAGTAACAAAGGCACAGTCCCTCTTAGAAAAGCCCAACCCAGTAATTCCTTTGGCTTGCAGCTGGTGACTCGTGGCAATTCAGAAAACTAAACCAAACCAAAGCTTGTCCTCATGGTTATCAACCAGCCAGGTGGCAAGTACTACAAGAAAACTCTGATCCAGCAATTTACCACTAACCAGCCAGGACTATCACAAAGAAAGCAGGAGAGAAAACAGGAGCAGGGATCATTCCTACCAGCATCACATTAGTAGACTCTGCCATCAGGGCCACGTAAGGTTTCAAGACGTCAAAATGAAACCCCGGAGTCAGAAGTTTTCGGTGTTGGTGCCATTTTGGCCCATGTAAGACCAGTAATCCATTCCCTGGGGAAACACAGGCACCGGAGCTTGTAGCACTTGAGGTTTTGGTAGCTGGAGGCAGACAACTTTCACGTGCCTATACAAGCCCAGTGTAAAGTAAAACAAGAACCCCACTGAACCTAACCCAGAGCTTGAAATAGCATTGAAAGGGCATTTTCTGGAAACCAAGAAAACCTTTCTGTTTTGATTGTCTACCAGTTCCTGCACCTCTCAAGCACGACCAGATGTGACAGCTTAGAAGAACTGGTCAAAAGCTGTGCTCCCCTGGCTCTTGGCAGGACAAAAACTACACAGCATTAATGTCACAAAGGAAGAGCAATGTTCCTAGAGCAAGAAGTTCAGGTAAACAGATAAATTTTGCATTGTTCCTCTAAAAGGCACTGTTGAATTGGAGTTTCTCCAATGAACACGTAGGTGGTCCTCATTTGTTCATATGCCTGGTGGCTGAACTTTCTTTCTGAGAAGCATAAAAACACAGCATCATTTAGCATCTTTTTCAATAAACATGATAGTTGCAGGAAACTTTTAGCTATAACTGTATCAAGGAACAAGTGCAATGCTGCTTATTTATAGTATGTCCTTGACTAATTTCAGAATGACTCCTGGTAGCCAAAGCCCTGGGAATACATACCAATCCATGGAACAAGGTGTTTATAACTAACGTCGTCCTTGGGATCTGTTAAAAAAAAAAAAAAAATTCACCAAGAAAGAAAGAAAAAAACAGTAAATATTTTACCAGTATCAATCTACTTTCCTATTTAAAGCTTGCTCTGGGATACAACTTTTGGTTAAGATGCAACAGAATTGATATCATCCCATCAAAATTAATCAGTATTTCACAGCAAACACTGTTTGGTCCAGTTGGAAAACTCATATATAAGAGCAGACACATGAACTGGAATAGCAAGAACATTAATAGTCCAAGGTCAAATGAATATGCTGGGCAATACATGACTTTCTTTTCCTAACAGCAAAGTTTAGCACTTTTCTCTTAGGATGCAGTAAACATACTGCTCCCTGCTATGAGATGAGGGCGTGAGCCAAATTCCACAGTAGCTGATAAAAAAAAAAAAAAAAAAAAAAAAACAGGATCTTTCTCCTTGGGATCAGGCACCAAGAAGACACGCTTTTTTTACGGAGCTTGAACAAATTTGATTTTCAAATTAGAAATTCTGCTGATTTCAGGGGATAGGCAGCTGAGAGGATGAACGCTATTTGGGTAGACAGGCTTGGTCAAAGCCAGGCAGCTCCTGCTAGTGAAACAGCAGCTCTGCATGAAACAGCCAAGATTCAGGCACAAAGCAGTGGGACCCAGGTGAAATAACGGTAAAATTGGTTGGTAGATGATTTCTGCAAGACAACCCATCTGCGAGACCCCACTTTGCTGTGAATTGCTCTCTTGGAATTGGCAGTTCTGCCACCGTTGCTCCACCGTTGAACGCAGCATCTCTTACCTGCTCTGGCAAACAGAGTTTTAGCATAGTCAGGGTCTGAGACAGTCAGGATAGCCATGAAACTCCCAAACCAGTTGGGGTGGGCATATAAGTACTTCTGTGCCCATGCCTCTGACTTGTCCAGAATCTCTTCCTCTTTCAAAAACTGTAATTGTGGAAAAGTAAAAAGAGAGAGAGCACTGAGACCGAGAAAACCCAAAACAAACCCATATTGTCTTGAAAAACTCAAGGACTTCCTGCATCACAAGAACAGGTAATCACAAACAACACATGATCCCTCTCCCTCTGGGCTTGCATACCATAAGAAATAGATATGCTTGTTAGTTGAAAACATCATATAAAATAATTCTTCCATATAAACTAATTCTAACCATAGAGAACACCTTTAGGGATGATGGTCTACCTTGCACATGTGTTATATGCTCTATTGCTATGGAGACTCCAAAAGAGAATCAGATTTACCCCAAACAGCATCTGGTTTTTGTGACATCAAAGTATGTTCTCACTTGCATATTGGTGAGCAATTAGCACCCTTCATTAATGACAAAATACAGCCACTCTTTATGGCAACCAGCTGCTTTGCCTGCTGAGTACAACAATGTCTTTGACTGGAAAACCTGCTCCACAGATTCCTCTAGCTATTTACATGGAGAAGGTCTGAGTTCAGGTAAAATTCAATAGTTCAAAATCACCGTTAGAGTGTACAGAGGAAGGGATATTAGTCCATAACTTCAAATAAATATGTCTTGGATTTTCAGGAATTCAATTTAACATGCAGTGAACAGCCATCCCACTCCCAGAAAGATTCATCTCTGTTCCCTGGAAGTTTCATTCTGAGATATACAATTTCACCAGAAAACAAAGAACTAGTCAGAAATCTCAATGGAAAGGTCTAAAGTCACAGGCAGAGAAAAGCAGATCAGCCTTTTCCTTGAAGAAAAATTAGCCTGTCAAAGTGGGCAATCCAGAGATCTAATCCAGCTGTGACAGTGTGCAGAGGGAAGGATTTTGGTAAACTAGTGCTGAAATGGCTGGGGCGGCTTTGACTTTAAGTTTGAAGTTTAATTACATTCACCATGAGATTAATTTGAAAAATAATGCTGGCATAGAAATCAGCTAGAAAAACTCCTTGTTTATCAAGTTCAGTGAATGTTTGCTCAATTTCTTTATTGCCAGGTTATCTCAGTTCATCTTTGATCTTGGCTTGGCTCGTATTCAAACAATCAATGACACCAGGCTTTCTCTCAGCTAGGAAAAGCAGATTTACCCAGGGGACATGCAGTAAGGTGTCTTGCGGGACACAAAACAAAATGTGCAGGTGGCACATCTATACTGCTGACCTCTCTCAGGCTCTGCATGGTCTGCACGAGCCATCCTTGCAAAAGTGTCCGTGTGGGCAGAAGGAGTTTGTCCTGGGCTCCCTTCATGTTGCAGACTTGCTGTGGATGACCACGGCACAGCCAGCAGCTGCCCTGCGTCTGGCAGAGCCCCATGTCCCAAGAGCTACATCCAGTTTTCATTTATTCACCTTCTCGTGCTCAAGACTTGGCACTTACTAAGGAGAAACGTAAATTTCTCTGGTTACATCTCCCAGACTGAGTAGTTTCCTTGAAAAAAGCCACCTGCTAGCTTTTACCATGATGATGTCAGCAGGAATGGGCTGTGCCCCCATGAATTTAATACAGTGACACTTAAACAACAGAAATTACCCTTGAGATGGCTGCTGGCATTTTTACTTGTCATCAAGCAATAAGAAGCATAGACGTGGTGGAAGTAATTGGGAGGTGCTGAATAAGCCTCATTGTGCCTGAATTTCTAGGGGTGGCAGAAGTCCAAGGGAGAGAAGTCCTCGGACCCTGCCTTGATCTTGGGGTACGAGCATCCAATTTAATCTGTGCCAGAGGGAATAATCCTTTTGCTAGCATAGGATGAATTGGCTTTATTTGAACGGAGAGATGAGGCCAAGGAGAGTAACCTCTACCTGTCATGCCGAGCAAGCGCAGGGAACAGAGGGTTTAAAGTCCTGCAGGCTGCAGACAAAATTGCACTGAATGCTTTAACTTCTCTAACCAATGCTCTAGATATGTGAATCTGGCCAAAAGGCCATCACTTTTGCTTTTTCTTCCCTTTGGTGATTTAAAAGAAAAGTCTAACCCTTGCTTGGTTCTAAAGAGGAAAGTTAATAGCCTGCTCTCAGGCTGAAATGCAAGATTTGGAATAGAGCCAGCATTAAAGCATCCAGAAAGAAGTGCTTAAAGGTATTAGCTAATGACTACACACTGATGGCAAATGAAATTGAGGAAATAGAGGAGCTGAAATCTGAGCAGTAAGCTGCCCTGTACTCAGTCAAAAATAGGCTTGTTTACCAGGTGTTAAAATAAGCCAGGTAATCCCAGGGAGCTGCCAGCCTTCCTGGCCCCAGGGTTATATTCCCTTTCCCTCTTACGATTCCCAGGAACTGTTACTATAGGGAAACTTGCTTGGCCAATTCAGGACTCTGGGTTTTAACTAAGTCACATTTTCCACTTTTTTTCCAAAAAGACCTGAAAGACATAGAATAGGTTTACACGACCTCTTCAGATATTTTACACCTTTTCTATTTCTATTTCTATTTAGTGATTTAAGAGTGCCTTAAGACAAACACTAATGCATTCACAGGAGAAATAGCTGAAGCATGTTTTATGTATTTGAGGTACAAAATTGATCTGATAAAAGCAAAGTTTAATCTGAATTAAAATTGGTAATGAATTACTTTAATGGATTAGAACAGGAGATCTCGGTGTTCATATAGCTGAACACAGGTTTTCCACTAGGTCCTCCTAACAGTTATAAAGGTGCATGCAAATTCTGTATTAAGCCATTCTATCTGGTTTAAATATTTACATATTTCCTGCAGGATTAATGAACTTTTGCTCCAAAGTGAGCTTAGCAGCATTTAATCGGCAAATTCTCCTTCAGCAAATATTGTCGAAGGTAAAAGCTGAACCGTGAACAACACAGCAGTGTGATGAGTGAGTGAGCAACAAGATTAAATCTCATTCTAGCATAAATTGTCACAGCTGACAAATGGGCAAATGTACTTTATTCAGCTGCAGTTGGCAATAACTGCATATAAAATGCCTGTAAATGCAGTGCATGATTTTACACAGTCTTTAGCATGCACTGAGGGGACTTTCGCTTCATGCAATAGAGGAAAGCAGCTCATTTACAGCTTCCTGTAAGCTGTACTAACACGTCTGCAGAGGCAGCCAGGCTGCTCCTTGCAGGCAATGTGCCTGCACATCCATGCCAAGAAAGCCAAAACCAGTCTCCTCGGTTCACAGGCGGAGTGAATCCCGGGTTCGGTGCACCCGGACATGAGCGGGATTCAGAGCGGCTGCCGCGCTCGCCGCTGCTGCCGCCTCCTGCGGCCGGCTCCGCGCGCTGCCCTCGGGCACCGCTCAGCCGGGAGAGCCGGGAGCCGCCGCTGAGATAGACGGAAAACAGCTCATCTGCCACCGGAGAAAAAGGATGCCCTGCTTCCCGTTAGCCCTGGCATTCGGGGAAGGAATTCTCCGGGGATAATCCCTGTCAATCTCATTCCACCCCCGCCCGCAACCATGACTTGGGGAAACTGCTTTGCTGGCAGAGGGGCATTCAGCTCATTCCGGCATCCCCCTCCCCACCGCGGGGAGGCAAATCCAGCTCCTCTCCTACCTCATGGACGTGTCCGAAGAGCCAGTGGGTGGGGGGCCCCGGGAACTTGGCGAAGGCTCGGAGCAGCTCCCGCCTGCGGTGCAGCAGCTGGATGCCCTTGAGCAGCACGCACGTGAGGCAGAAGACGGCGGCCAGGTGCAGGACGCGGGCGACGTCCACGCCGAGCCAGGAGGGCTTCATGCCTGGCGCGAGCGCGGCGGTGCTGCTGGCGGCGCGGCCGCTGCGCCCGCTCCGCGCGCGCGGCCGATGTCACGCGGAGGGGCAGGACCGGAGTCCACGCGGCCGCCGAATCACAGCCGCCCTTGTTGGGAGCATCCGAGCGCAGAGCACGCCCGGCGCTGCTGGCACCGGCCCTCAGAGCGGCGGCTGCCCCAGCGCTGGGCACGGCGCCCCACACGCCTCCCCGGCGCGCCTTTGGGGCGTTTCGTCGCTTTATGTGCTGCTCTCGAGGCTCTCTGGGCAGCAAACCTGAAGGAGAAAACAGATATACCCTGACCTTCCTCCCTCCAAAGTCTTCATCGCACGCTGTCTGCTGCCAGGGTTCCCCTCTTGTCTCCAAGCTCTTCTCCTCCCTCCGCTGTGTGTCCCTCCTTGGCAGCGGGAGCACCAAGAGCACAGGGCAGGTGCTCCAGATGTGTCCGCAGCACGAGGCTGTTGCGGAGAAGGCAGCTGAGATGCTCCTAAATGCCCCAGCACGTTCAGTTTTCCATGGGGAAAACCCAAGCTCTGGGTCTGGCACAAATACCAGCTCCAGGTGGAGCTTCAGGGTCTTATCTTAATGTTTTTGGAAGCGCGCCTTCTTGGTGCACTCAGCTTTGTGCAACACCAGCAGCTCCATTGCAGCCACCAGCAGCTCCCTTGCTCCAGTGCAGAAGCTCCGGGGGGGACTGAGCTCTGGGAGACAGAAGTGGTGGCTCTTTTCCAGGCTACTGGCACATCCCTGGTCTGCAAACTCCTGCAGCGAGCAACACTACTTTGCTTTTGCTCCTATAGACAGTGAACTATAATTTCAAGCTGTAGCTTAAAAATGGCTGGAATTAATTTTGGGGACTCAGTGAGTCCCCAGGGTGGCCCCAGTGACTGCAATGAGACACAGCCAGCTGAAACAGGAGGTTTGCAGCCCGAAAGTCTGGTCTCGCCAAGGCATGAGCTCCTTTTCAAGACAAGGACAGGCTGCTGCCACGATGTAGTGTGAGGAACATGGACTCTGCAGGGCTGGACTTGGGTAATTGGCTACTCTCCGACAGTGGAGACAGAGAATAGCTGGTTCTTTGCTTGCAACCTGCTTTTTAGGTGTTTGCTGAAAGACAGGGGGATTTGTCTGGTAACGGAGACAAAATGGTACTGGAAAACCAGTGAGCAAGTGACGTGGGTGGCTGTCTGGGCTATCTGCACCTAAAAGGCAGCAGTGCTGCTGCAACACGGGCGCCTGCTTCCTGCACACGCGTGACTCCTGCATCTGCATGTTCCCCATGTCTGCGTGATCCTTGCATATGCGTGATCCCTGCATCTGGGCATCCGTGTGACCCCTGCACCCCTGTGACTCCTGCATCCCTGTATCTCCTGTATCCATGTAATCCTTGCATATACATGATCCCTACATCCTTGTATCCCTGCATCTGTGTGACCCCTGCATCCATGTGATCCTTGCATATGTGTGACCCCTACGTCCATGTATCCCTGCATCCATGTGACCCGGGCATCCATGTGATCCTTGTGTATGTGTGATCCCTACATCATGTATCCCTGCATCCATGTGACCCCTGCATCCATGTGATCCTTGCATATGTGTGATCCCTACATCCATGTATCCTTGCATCCATGTGACCCCTGCATCCGTATGATCCTTATATCTGTCTACCACTCTTTATCGGTGTATTCCCAGCATCCATGTACCCCTTGCATCTGTGTGACCCCTGTACCCCTGTATCCCGTGTATCCATGTGACTCCTGCCCACATGCACGTGGAGCGAGCCCAGCTCCCGAGCTCCTTCCCACCCGCTCCCGGCGGCACCGGCCGGGGGCGGGTCTCGAACCCTCAACCCCCCTCACTCCTCCCCGTCCCGCGGGGCGCCTGTGCCCTTAGAGCGCGGGGGCGCGGCGGGCAGGGGCGAGGCGAGCGCGGGCCAATGGCGGCG